GTGATTTAATTGAAATACCATCGTGCATGCCCAGTAATTAGGCAGGATGTGTGCGGTAAAAGCCGTTTTTAATTTATTCATGAACGTGTCCCTGTTTTTATCATTACATACAAGCCAACAGCAAAACGAGGATAACAAAATAGACGTCGTTTGCTGCGAAGAGAATGGGGTTTTCTTTGCTTTTTGACGTCCGTCCATTTTGAACAGGTATCGTGGAATCTTTTTTGGAGGCATCATTAATCTGGATGAATTTTTAATACAGTGCCGGAGTGGAATGCACGTACAGCATATTTGTTCCTCCGAACCCCCTATTCTCTGTTCTTTCTTATTAAACGACAATTAATATGCCGGCTCTTAAAAGCATTTCGATAGATAATGGCGAAACAAGTACGTTCTGCAATTTTTTACGAGGTATTTGTTGTAGAAGCTGAAGGTATTTCATGATATTACATTATAAATTTCTGAAAGGTAAAACCTTACAAAGAATATCCCATTACGATGTACAAGATGGTCTAAAAACTTTGCAAATTAAAAAAAATAAATAAATAAATCACTGAATTTACAACTTACAGCGAAGCATATTTTCACTTAACTGCATAAAATTACGGAGATTTCTGAACTTTTATATCAAGTAAACTTTTAAGTACTGTTTAGTTCTGTATCTTGAAGTCTTAAACATAATGCCCAGTTTTGGAATTATCACATTCTCAGCACAGAAGAAGACAAGCATTAGATTCTATGAATTCATGTGAGACGGAGCGTTAGTCTGCATTGCTTTTCCTACAAATAAAGTCAAAAAGCCGTTAGAAAAATTTTTTGTCTACCGTTTTCACCATAAAAAAGAAAGTTTGAGTTTTTTTCCTCCCCAGCCCCCTCTTCTATGCATCAAAAGTTGGAAATTGCACATTTTCTATCAATGAGCCGTCAGTTTCAGGGTTTCTGCTATCGGCGTCTAGAACAAGAGCTGAAATCAGCTTTCCTGTAATGGAAATCTTAACTCAAAAAGTGCATCAAAGCATTGGTTGTCAGAAAATAATCTGAAGCATCTTTGTTTCGTTTTAAATAAAGCAATGTTGCATAAAGCGTTGTTGAAGCACTTAGCCCGCTGTGAATAGAAAGGATAGCAAGTTTCGATAGAAGAGTGAAGACAGAAAAAAAAAAAATCTGTAACTTTCAAAATTTCAAATCATGCAGAAGTTAATTTTTCTCGCATTAGATCCGGTTAGAGTATTTACATATTTAAAGCACTCTATAGCTGTCTTCTTAGAGAAAGGGACACCCGTCTGGGGCGCCTTACATAGTGACACTAGTTCAAATTCACGTTATAAATTGGGAAAACTTCAGCTAGCCCGCTGAGCCACCAAGCAAAAAACTCTGCGGAGTAGAAATGTTTTGAGAGTTTAAGCTTTCGGTAAATTTTAAAAAATAAATAAATTTTAAAGAGTTTAATTTTCGATAAATTTTAAAGAGTTTAATTTTCGATAAATTTTAAAGAGTTTAATTTTCGATAAATTTTAAAGAGTTTAAGCTTTTGGTAAACGCCTGACTCTTTACAATAGCTTTCCAAACGGCATTTATCGTGGTTAGTGACTCTGATCAATGGGCTTAAGTTTGAACCCTCGAGAAGGCACTGATGTTTGTAAATGTATAAAGTCCGTGCGGCAAGGGAGCACTCAAAATATACGGCAAGCCGAAAGTTCTTTCCAGTGATTCGTGGGAGGAGAAGAGGGGTGGGTGACCCCCGGACCAGCCTCCGAGGTGCTCTCCCTCAAAACTGACGCGGTGTTGTACATTTAGCGCTGGCACTATACTTGTACAACCCATAGTGGAATTCTGGTGTCGTACTCACTTGTATCTGACTCTTTACTATATGATCTAGTAAATGCTTTTCATAAGTGTAAAAATTTAAATTTATTTTCTTATATTTTGGCCATCGTGGATGCTCCACATTTGATTTTATCCTGTTGTTGTGGCTTATCCCACCTGGTCGATAGTAACATCAGATCAGGTCTCTGAAATCAGAGCAAGCGCACCAAATTCATCGTGGTAAGGGGCCAAGATTGCACTTGTCGTTGACAAGAGCTTTAGGCACCATACAGGTAGAAGTACAACTTTGACCAGTTCTGCCCCCCCCCAATTTTGATGGAGGGCACTCCGGGGGCGGATCCGAGGGTTTCCCACTCCGTCTTCCCTTATCACCAACCTCTCAAGAGGTCTTTCGGCTCGCCGCATATTTAGAATGCCTCTATACCGTACAGAAACTCACATGACTACCTTGGATTAGGCTCCACGGGATCACCGATCAACCAATCGCTAAGGTTTCTCAGTGCGACCTCCCCATTGGAGCTTCAACCTCACGTGACCACTACTAATTTAAGGTTTAAAGCAAGAACTTCACCTTCGAGCAGGAACTCACATTCACGTTCAAGTTCTATAGAAATCGCACCGTAACAAACGGTCACCACCTTCTCTTTCGTCTAAACGCTTCCGTTCTCACGGACTGATTCCAAACATGATACACCAATTTCATGCACCATTTTAGGCAATATTTCAACTCAGCTTATAACGTCGCCCTCGATACTTCACCACTGGTACTAGTCACACAAGCACTATACAATTACAAGCATTCATGCCTTCTCCGGGATTTGAACAAGAGACCGTTGGTAGGGCAGTCAGCATCGCTAACCACTGTCCCGGTTGGCGCCGCGATTGTATCCTTCTGCTACGATACATGATTTCAATTGTGTTTTATATAAGTAATAATTTGAATCATTTAGCGCCTAGATAATAAAGCGACTTAAGTCGCAATCCGTCGCAAAACGGCTTGCAGTCCTAACGACAGTCACTTACAGTCTGCCTGTTACAAGAAGAGCTCGAAGTAAACCAGGTTATATCTCTGAACATATTTTTTGTCCATTTTTTTCCAAAAAAAATATTAACAGTTTATGATTTACCAAAGAGTAAAGAATGTGTTATATAATTTTTTAAGAAGCATAGCATTTGAATATACGAAAATGGTCGGGAAATAACAGGGATCATAATACCATCACAATGATACTTTATTTATGTCTCTTTATAAACAAAAATGGATTAATTTAAGTAATCGAAAAATTTAACGAAAAAAAAAAATATGTCTTCTACCGTAATACCAACGCTACGTTAGCAGGTTGCAATAAATTCATTCACAAACTGGAAGATACTTATTAAAATGTTATGGATAGATTTAGCTATGTTAAGTTGTACACAAAAGAATAAAATACAGTAAAGCTTAATAGCAACTAAAGTATCTTATCTAGTATTTCTAAATCTGGATTAAGGGATGTCCATTGCAAGTTTGCGAAAGCCAAGTTTTGACAATTTTCTGAATACCAGAGATACTAATACCACTCTAAATCCTAGTCGACATTCTCTGAAGACCGTTCTCTCATCTAAGACCTGTCTAAAGCCAAAAATGGATGGCAGATGGACTGATAGAAGCTTTAAGGCTTATGTAGTTTTAACTCTCTAGGGTTTAAGAGGCTGGTCGAAAATAGGAAGCGTACTGCTTACTGCAATCTGCTTGACTCATTTGTAAAATGTTCTGGTGGGTTACATTTAGGTAAATTTAATCCGCTGTCAATTTTACTTAGAATGTCCCGTAAGCTCGGTCTTGGCACTTAACGATTGAAATCGGAACAAGGAAATAAAATTAATACTACGCATCGAAATATTTCAAAATCAAGCTCTAAACATTTCTATTCGGTATAATATTGATACGCACTCATATATTACAATACTAATTTAAAGATTATTTTATTTATGTTATGGTAATCTAAAGATTCATGCAATTAATTTATAGCTGTATAAGTAATTTTAAAGGAAAAAAAAGGATAAGCTGTCAAAATTAGTTTTCTTTGATACTTCTAAAATCTTTTCTGATAATTTCTTTTGTACCTTGACATTAACTTTGCTTAATATTAAAAGGTCAAACATGATTAAGTTAAGCAGCGATAACAGGTATGCATTTAAGTAAAACTTATTTTTGTATCAACAGGCTAAGTAGAATTAGCTTCCCCCCCCCAAAAAAAAAACTACCACATTTTTCATAGTAGAATCTATAGGGACTTCGTAAAAATTTCGAAAAAAGGGAGAGTTCACTCACATGAATTACTGTAATGGCAGCGTTAATTACAAAAGTTATCTAAAAAAAAATTTTTTTTCCCCCAAAAATCTAAAACTAAGCGGTCAGTTACACATTTCTTTTTCCCCCCTAAATTGCTCTGATGCGTATTTTTGAAGATTCATTTGTAGGTACCACAGAAGCGCCCTGTAATCCCCAAATGAATCATTTTCACATATATATAATTTCATTCAATGTGAAAATACCACAAAGAAATTCCACAGTAAACAAAGTGTTAAGAATTCCTGAATATCGTCGACACTACACCAAAACAACAAATCTGCAAAACTGTTGCTTCAGGAAGAGTGCTTTTAAAGGATGGTACGCTTTTTGATTTAAAGGAAATTTGAAATATAACTTTTACACAAAGCTCCTTGAATATTTATGAAACAGAATACGGATATATTTCTCTTAGCATAATGTAAAAAGCTAAAATAGATAGCATGTGTAGTTACAATAGTAAAAAATTCCAGATTCGTGTTTTTGTTATAGTGTTGACAATATTTCTATCACTCCATAAAACAAGATTTCAACAAATACTAAAACTCATATATTTAAAGGAAATATTTAAGGGGATGCCAAAAATGCACATCTACGAAAAAGGCTAGTGCAGTTAAAACGTTATCTTGCGTTTCATTCTGAGGAAAACCCAGTTAATATGTTTTCATAAAATCTATTTAATTTTTATGTCAAAAAATTTCATGTCGCTCTTTAAGCATTCTTTAAAACACTGAAAAATACCAGCAAAACGACCAGAACCGAATACTGAATATCAGATTCGTGGTTTGGCGTAATGTAGATGATATAATTAAAAGGGCAGTATTTCAAACAGTTTACTCACATGCTATTTTGATCACAGCCACTCTGCTCTTAGTGGTGCCGCTCGATGACCAAGCAACGCAACCACATCCATATCCATCCAGACCAAAATACTCCTCCACGTCATTCCTACTCACGTCGATACTCACTTCGATGTGTCTCACGCCCGTTTGCGGATCGACGAATTCTTGCCTACTGTGGTGTCTAACAAAAAAAAAAAAAAAAAAAAAAAAAAATGCATAAGAATTTGATTTAGTATTTTTTCGAGTATCGTCCATTTTTTTAAACAGAACAACAACCAATATATATATATAAACACTGATTATTTAAAAAAAAATTGCTCGCTTTTATATCACGTAAGCTACTGATCACAAACCCACGATTCCAGTTTAAGGAATGAAGGAAATAAGGTAGAATTTTGATTGCAATAATTTTAAACTTTTTTTTATTCTGTAAAAACATACAAAATCACAATTTTTATATGGATCTTTTACAAAGAAAGTTCAAATAGGAAAATGCATCTTTTCTTAAAAACGGTCTTTGAAAAGAATTGGTTTTGTAACATCAGAATTGGAAAGATTGTCAAAAATTACAGAACTTAAATAATTTTACTCGATGAAAGGGAAAAATACAGATTTCAATAGCTGTATGAAACTAAAATTGATTCCATTAAACATTTTCTAATTCTGGATTTTAACTTCGGTTTTTCTGATGTAAAAAATATCATTTAGATACTGGAGTTCGAAAACCAAACGTAGCTATCTTTAGAAATATCTACATATATACGGTTCTCAAAAATTTTAATTCAAGGTATTTCCGATAATTTGGATATGTACGAGGGAGTGTTTATTAATTTATTGTTTTACAATTCGGTCACGAAAAATATTTTTCTTATATCTCATTTCTCGTTCATACTGTTTTCTTTGTAAGTTTAATAAAATTGTCGTAAATTTTCGCAGTCATCTGTTTTCAGTCTTTTTATTATTATTATTAGGTTACGCATTGTTTTTGTTCGTTCATTTATTTATTAGTACACTGTAATAGTTTTTATTATTATTATTAGGTTACGCATTGTTTTTGTTCGTTATTATTAGGTTACTCTTGTTTTTACGCATTCATTTATTTATTAGTACACTGTAATAGTTTTTATTATTATTATTAGGTTACGCATTGTTTCTGTTCTTATTATTAGGTTACGCATTGTTTTTATTATTATTATTAGGTTACGCATTGTTTAGGTTACGCATTGTTTTTATTATTATTATTAGGTTACGCATTGTTTTTGTTCGTTCATTTATTTATTAGTACACTGTAATAGTTTTTATTATTATTATTAGGTTACGCATTGTTTCTGTTCTTATTATTAGGTTACGTTACGCGCATTGTTTTGTTCTTTCATAATTTTTTATTATTATTTAGTCATTGTTTTGTTCTTATTAGTTACGCATGTTTTATTATTTATTATTACGCATTGTTTAGGTTACGCATTGTTTTTATTATTATTATTAGGTTACGCATTGTTTTTGTTCGTTCATTTATTTATTAGTACACTGTGATAGTTTTATTAGGTACACAGTGCATTAAAAAGGGGAGACTGTTCAATATCTCCCATTATAACTGAGCAGATTGACGAAATTTAACTTGTGATTTTCATGTCTCGAAACAGCGATTTGGTATATATATTAGATTTACATATAGTAATCGTTCTAACACAGGCATTTTAACATAATATCGAACTTTTTCTAAAATGACATATATTTTTTCCCCCATATTTCGACCCTACGCCTCAAATTAAACCAAAGTGTTAAGTTTCGTAAAAATCGCCCAAATAGATTTTAGATTTTAAAAAACTAGGTTACTAAAAAAACTAGGTTTAAAAACTAGGTACTTTAAAAAACTAGGTACTTTAAAAAACTAGGTTTAAAAAACTAAAATGTTAACTCTACAGTGTTAATTGGATTTGACATATATTTATTAATATCCCTTTTTTATCAAACTTACATCATTCCTTCTTTCACAATACGAAATTTAGGTTCAGTCCAAATAAAATTAGCAGATATTTTCAAATTTGAATTTCTGTAAATTTTCATTTTTTTTTTTTTTAAATTATAACCTTTGAAAATTTTACCATCACTTTAAAGCAGCTGTATTTCAAAGTATATCTGAAAAAAGGATTAGAGATTTTTATTCAAAATTTCCCAAGATATACGTGAATTTATGCATAAGCGCGTTTTGAAATTTGACATATTTGTTATAAGTGATAATAACGCCGAATGTGGTTTACGCATTTTGTTAAAATTATTTGAAAAGAATGAACGATACATCTTTTTAACCGTCGTGAGCAATGAAAGGGAAAGGAAATACGTTAGCATAAATTAAGAATTACTCCAAGTGAATTATTCTTGGCGCAGATTGAAAAGTGTGTCCCAAGATAAATATTGGAATTTCTCGGTAAGTTTCCCACCAAATTATACAAAATTGAATATTTAGGCATAATATAAATCGTAGAATCGAAATATGGTAAAAGTACAGTTTTGTGCCAAAAAACCTACGGTAGAACAACATTATATATAAATCTAATATATATCCTAAATTGTGCTTTCGAGACATGGAAAATGCAAACTAAATTTCGTCAATCGGCCCTACAGAACGGGAGATATAGAACTATTCCCCCCGGATAGTATACATTTATTTAACCGAATGTGTGGCCAGTTTATATCTTGCATTACTCTGTAGATTTCATAATTCGAAGATATAACCAGAAACCTTTTTTACTAGCCTTTGAGCAAGTTTTGTTGCCAAGTTGGCGACATTTAGCCATTTCTCACCAATCTGCAGACATTTGGGAAATTTCCTGAAAATACGAGTACATTTTCATAGGTCTAGGAGCGACTGCTCTTGAAGATTCCAAAAATACTCCCTCTTCACCTACAGAAAGACTTAAATACGGTCTGCACTGAAGCTGTGAGTTAGTTAATTCAGTTATTCGGTTCAGAATCTTCAATTATAGTGAGTTTTTGCTCGGCGATAACAGATTTAGACTTTCCTACAACAGATTTTAGTGATCTACTGTATTCCTTAAGCTTCAAGAATTCGTCTTATCTCTGTTTGTCTCCTAGTTAATTATTTTGTTGTATGAGCAGTTATTTATGTCAATGAAATTACAGTTCTTGTGCGTGCAGATTATTAAAGAGATCTTTACGAAGTTTTAACTTGCAATAGTATTTTATAACTAAGAATATATGTTTCGCGTATTTTTACTGAATCGTGTCATAAAATCTATTGTATTTGATTCATTTCTTAAACTGGAACCATCCGCCTAGCCGTTCAGGATCAATTTAGTCGTTAGATCTTTTTTAAACCTGATATATATGCAGTAAAAGCAACTATGAAACACACCATTTGGTGATTATTATACTAAAATGTATTTTTTTATTTCTAGAATATTCAATGGTTTTATAGAAAGTCAAGGAAAAATTATGCAAGCTGTATACCTGTGATGAACAGCTTTGTCATTGCACACAAAATACAACTCCAAGGCATTCCGAACTTTACAAGACAAGGTGGCAGGACGGCTGCGTACAACGTACGTATCCCGAGGTTCCTCTAAGAAAACCGGACGGCCCGACGTATCACCATCTTCCGTTGGAAAGGGGTCCAGAAGCAAACCTCCATCTAGAAAATCAAAGAAAATGCGCATTTAGTTAGTTATAAGCATAAAGCTTTCTTTCTTTTAATTTAATAATTTAACACGTGAGCAAGAATTTTAAAAAGTGTCGCAAATAACAAAGAATTTTAATTTGATTTCCACTGTTAACTTTTATTTCCCACATGTCTTATGCTTAAATAAGGATTGATTGTAGTGTTTCCAAACTGTACATCGGTTCAGCTGCAGATAATTATTTAATTATACGTATATGACGTAATAACGTAATATTTCTCTAACATATAAAAATTTCCATGTTATTAGTGATATAAACTCTTTGAGGTTTTAACCTTTCGGCGAAATCAGCGTCTATCTATACAGCCTTCTATTTTAAAAAGGCATCAAGATTATATTAGTATGCACACTACTTTTGAATGGATAAATTGTGTAACTTTGTCTACTGTTGATTTTTTTTCGGTACATAATAATGAACTTTTTTACATTTGTCGTGGTTTTTCTACATTTATAATATTTCTCCTCGTTAACGAGTCAGTTTCCTTCAGTAAGTCCTCCACGAAAGTATTCCAAGATAAATTTAGAGTTCTAGACAGATAGCTCTAGCATATTTTGGCCTGAGTCAGTTAACCTAACTTGCATTGCTGTCTTGGGAATAATGGTGCTACAATAATTGCATCAACATAAAACCACCATTCCCCTGCGCAGTTCTACTTATCTGATGCGGGCGTTATGCTGTGCGATATAAAGAGTAAATACTTATTTAAATTAAAAACTCGGATTTATGCGTCAAAAAATTCAAATTTCAATTCGAATGCACGTATCCTATGCAGACATGATTGCCTGTCTGCGCATCATGCATCTATTCCTATTGCAGTTACCACTGCTGCTACTTCTATTAAAAATATCGCATGATCCAAAGTATCAGCGGCTCATGCATTTTTTTGATTCATAAGCAGTGACACTTAACATAGTGAACCTTCTCGTGGTAATCATTTCCCTAAGATAATTAATTATTCCTAGAATGACCGGTATTTCTGAGAACGTTAATAAGCGTTTCTGTTGAATGTCACTTCGCAAAGTTTATTTCTTCAGCCGAAGACAAAAGTCATTCATTTGATATCGGGGGTGATTGACTTATTCATTCTTCATTCTGTACAATATCATTAACACAGATATGTTTTGAAACTCATCAGAAATTTATATATTATTAATTTACATAATGTTAATTAATTAATCGTAAGAAACAGTTTTCAAATTGATCAAAAATTGGACAAAAACAGCTCTGTGAACTGTTTTGCCCTCATTGCAGGGTTCATTTTATATGCAAGAGCAATAAGAGAAAATTAAAAGAAAAGGTTTCATCTCAGAGTAAGTTTGTACACGAAGAAAATTTGAAATCTTTATTTGAAAAATTTGAAATATGTTTATAAAAGTGTTCTGGATGAAGAATATACCTGCGATGATTTTATTTACCATCTAACTCAGAAACTATGTAAAACAAAAGCTAATATCTCTTTATAATGAAGCTGAATTGTGACTTAAATATAAAAGTTAGCATCTATAGTAATACTTGTGTATTCATAATATACACTAAGTATCTGTAGTACTCCTTGCCATTGAATTTAATGTACAGTGGTCAAAGCAATTTCGCAATAAAAAACGTGAGTCTTATGTTCAAAAACAATTTATAATTTCTCTGTCGACCATCACTTCTAGTCAAAAAGTCAGATTTTCCATTTATCTTCAGTAAAAATTATTCAAAAATGTCTTCTGATGGCGAATTAGAATTGCTGGATATGCTTCACAGCCATAAAAATCTTTTCGGTTTGATCACAATTCTAATCTTTCTTTACCATCAGCTTTCCAGGTATTTGTTTTTCAGTTACGTTTGATTCACTTTTCAGTCAATAACTGACGTTGATGAATTCTCTCTCTCTCTCTTTTTCCATTATTTTTATTTCTGCAGCTGGAGAAGAAGGTTCTATTTGAACTTTGAAATGCAAATTGTCCTTCAAATGTATTTAAATTACATCGAATTTTCTTGCTTATTATATGTTAACTTTAAATTGAAAGTTAGTGCAGAAACAGTTTAGGGTTAAATTGTTCAAATCTAATCAGAACCTTAAACAAAGTCATCATCCTTAATGTTATTAAAAGAACATGAAAAACATTTTAAAAAATTTTTACACTATATCTTTGTATTATAATAATGGAACACTAAGATTTATGACTATCAATTTTGGAACTAATAGCTATTGTTCCAGATGTATTTATTCTCACTTTTCCCACTAGAAAATCCCACCAGCTTCTTAGAAAGATTAAATTATGTTAATACTACAAACAGAGCAACATAACTTGGAAAGAGATGGAAACAGTCTTACACATAGTTTCAACGATAGATTGTGGCTACATGGACAACGCCCTGTTCAGAGTGAGCTATTTAACTTCAGGATCTCCTAACCCAGGAGTTAATGAGGTTCGTGTTCTCTTCTGGCTTTTCACTAAGTAAATATTTTAATTGGTATTATTAGTAGGTGCCTTGCTGAAGTTCTGGATATAATGCCTTTGTATAAGCTTAATCGTAAGCGTTACCGTATTGTTTTAACTGAATTGCATATTTTAAATGCTGTCTGCTTTATCCTGTTTTTCTTCAATTTTTGACACGTAATTTCGCTTAACTTCCACTTCAAACCTGATGCCATATCACTTTTAGATGATATATGTTGAGAAGTTTAGAGGATTACTTGCTGTTTCACTCAATGATCATCCGTACAGCTTTCTACTTTAACAAATCGGATAATAATTACTATACAAAATAGTTTAAAAATATAACTTAACATTATAAATTCTCAGAAACTGAAACTTTTTTTATGTACAACCAGGTCCGATTCAAAGCATAGGCAATACATGCAGTCGCCTAGGGTACCAGCAAGCAGTAGTAGTAGTAGTAACGGAGGACCTAAGGTGACGTAAAAGCTGAAATTAGGCTTGTGTGCAGTTTACCGTATTAGCTTTGCTTTATTCTAATACGCCTACTCTGTATTAGTATCTGAAGATGAAAACAGCACTGTTTGTCCTTCGAAAAATTTACTGAGACGTTTTTTAATGCCGTTATTTATTTACTGAAAGCAATGGCAAGTTTTATTAATTATTAATGCTAATACGTAACTTTTAGATCAATTAATAATATACTGTTTACAGTAGATTAGTATATTAAACTGAAATAGCATTTAAATAAATTTTCTGATTTTTAACAGAGAAAAGAAAAAAAATTTCCTCCACCGCTACAGCATAAATTTCTCTAAAATAAATTCAGGGAGTTACTTGCAATCGTGTTTCTTAAAAAATAAGTTTAGTAACAAAATGAGATGTAAAGTTTGCGCAAGTCATGCCACCGCTTACACCGTACCTTTTAAATATTAAGTATAATATCATGCCAACTGCGCCTCTTCCCTCAAAACGAGCTATCCCCTAGTCAATGATATTGTTTCACATCGTGTTCGTCTCCCTGTAACATTTGTTAGAAAGACCGGGAAGAGAATATGATTCAGTGTTTAATGTAAAAGGATGTGTCCACGACGTGCTGGAGTTGACAAGAAAATGAAAAAATAGCTTTGTGATCATATTGTTATAATTTATTTTATAAATAAGTTAATTGAGAAAAAGAAAGTTTTATTATAATTGTCTAATTTTAAACGTACTACGACTTAAGCTATAGGTGGTACGACTTAGAATACTGGATTTTCTAATCCACATCAAGTTCGTGTTTATAAAAATTGTATTAATTTCATCCAAGAGCGTAGACGGTGTGGAATTTTATTGCAATAAATATCAGCAGCGACAACACAAGATATTATTACCACGCATAATTTTGTATTTTTCACAGTACAATTTATACCTATTTTTTATTAAGGGTACCTTAATAAAAAACATAACCTTACGCTACTGGTTAAGATTTACATAACCTTACGCTACTGGGGTCTTTGTCATCAATATGAATATTTATTTTTTAGCTCCGTGTATATGGTAAATATATAACAATTTAAGATCTAAGTTAATGAATTCACAAAAATGGGACCGATATTTAGTTTTTTACTTTTAAATAATAGAAGTTTTACCCATCATATTTTTTTACAAAATTGCTTTTATAAATATTAATTTTTAATGTATTTCGAATATAGCAAAAAATTTTGAATATAATAGAAAAATGAAGATTAATGTACTTGAATACTGTACGCATAAATGCAGTTTACATAACACAGGGCCTAATATTCAGGATAAATTCGTTTCCAAACGCGTCCGGATTTTATTGGCAGAATACTTTCATTTGCATTAATCTCACAATTTGTTTCTGTTCTAGAATAAAATAATAAATTTACTTTCAGGTTATTGATTCGCGAATAGATTTCTTAGAACGTAGTGTATTAGGTTTTTAGATTTATTATTTTAATATAAATTAATGATAAAAGAATACAATAAATAGATATTTGCTTACTTTCTCATTTATTTCATAACAACATATTTATTTTATTCATATGTATTAAGGAAAATACTCTTTATTCTGAGCACACATATTGCTATTATTCATAAAATGTGAAAACTTTGTGATTTTCCTGTTCACTATTTTTATGGATTCATAATTATCTAATTCTATCTGTAATTCTATTAAATTACTGCAATAATCAATCTGGGCTAAGTATGATCCCGAGCCATTCGGATATTTGAAAAATCTGAATAAATGTATAAGTATGAGCCATTCGAATATTTGAAAAGTCTGGGTAAATGGCGGCATTTTTTTCTGTAGTCCAAATACGCATTTACATAAATGTAAATGAAGAAATTTTACATTTTCCCTAACCGTATTTTATTTCAAATGAGGTTATACAGTTACGAACACGAAATATTCCTATTTCAGTAAATAAACATATAAAATATACTTCACTCATCTACGTAAATTAAACAATGTTACACACATTCTTCTAAACTAATTCAATTGTTAAACAATGCCCTACACTGTATTATCTTTGTATATAGTTTAAATCGGCGAAACATTTTAAAACAAGCTTAGCTTTGCTTGAACAGTGGTCTTCTCACTTTATCTGTTCACAAAAGTTATAAAAATGTATGATTTCTCTTATGGAAATTTAATCTTAAAAAAAAAGCATTGAAAGTATATCAATGTTTCATGTACTTTATTGGGGAGAAGGAAGCAAAAAAATCCTTATTTTATTACGATTTTTATTGAACAATTTAAACCCAAATTTCATGTGTGAAGGTCTATTAATAAATTAATAAATAGAATAATTTAGAAATAATCCATTAAAAATAAAAAAATATAATATTTGATTAATTGTTTTAAGTATTCAGCTTTGCTGTCACATAGGT